AAGCCACATCTCTACATAATTCCAGATACTTGACAAGATTGCAATAATTCAGTTTCCCTGGCTTGTGTGCCATATAATTTCTCTAGTTTCCTCTGGGTTCTGACACCAAATGGGCCCTCTTTACTCAATGATGGGGGCCTGAAAAATTTGGCAACAGCAAAAGGTTTCTGAAAGCCAAGGGTTTACACAAATCTGTTAATAACAACATGCAGTGTTTACAGAGGACTCTGCAGAAAATGCATCAGCTGTACTCCACAAAAAGAAAATCAGCTTGTTTAGCTAGCCTTGCAAATTATGATTTATTATTTTTTTTACTTTATACCTATTTTTACATCTATATATCTGGGGTTACATAAAAATTTCTTGGTGGAAATAGGTTACAAGCCGAAAAAATTAAGAAGTCCTGATATAGGAGACTGGGGCCATTTTATTATTATTTTTTATAATGGTAATATGAAAAGTCACAGATATTAACTTGTTGGAAGTAAGTTGCTGTTTCAATGATAAACATTGCTAATGCTATATTCCTCTCCTTTCAAAATGAACAAGTTACAAAAGCTCTCAAATCTCCCATCCCATGTAGAGTCAGACACCTGCTCCCTAATCCGTTCATACTGCTAATTAGGATTTTCAATTAAGTTAAAAACCAATATCAAGTATTAACACAGAGAGATAAAAAGGCATAAAGTTGATATATATTGCTCATTATCCTCACAGCTGTAGCTTCATATATGGTAAAAGGTACATTATGGTATGCAGAAGAGCAATTTGTAATATGTGGGTTTCTCCCAACAACTGCATTCTCAATTAACGATAACATCAAAATACCATCTTCTGCCAGAAGGCTGGTGAGGGAGCCCTTTCCCCCCTTCTTCCTTGCAACAAGCAACCGTCTCGTTGCATTTGTGCCAGGAATTCAATTAGTGATAAGGAATCATTCCAGCATCCGGTTACACCGTTATGACTAATCATAACATTTGTTTCCAGAGAAAGGAAATGGAGCAATGTTCTCCCTGAAGGTTTTCTCCACAGAAGGGCAACATATCCAAGAGAATAATGGCACCCACAGCCTCTTCCCTTTTTCTGCACCTAAGCAAGATACAGTAACTGATCTGAAAAAGCAATTCATGTCTTGCACCTGATTCATTGGCATGTGGAACTTCTGTTATGTTTTCATTTGTGAGCAAAGAAAAGGCACTGAAAGTCAAAAGAACTGATTGATTTCAGGTGGTACAAACTTAGTTCAAACATCTGATAAAGTGATATGTCATAGGATGGGGCAGCCACAGAGCTCGGGAAAAAACTACTTTAGAAGGTTACAATACCTTGAACCCCCAGCCAGTGGCCTTGCTAATTCAGATATTCAAAAAGTTGTAGTAAAAATAAAAAATAATTTTTCAAGGCCTGGGAGGTTGTTCTAGCCTCCTGACATGATACCCATTATTTGACCTGTTTTGTTTGCTGGTCTGATGACAGCCAAAGAAGGGAAGCCTTCTGTTTCTTCCAGTACTAAGTAACCCAGATCCCTGTATGGAGCTCAATAAGTTCCTTTGAGAGTGTGGCCTGGTGGGGATGGTGCCCAAGTGGAAAAGAGCATGGCCTCCAGTAGGGCATGCAGGTATCTCTGAAGGCGTCTCAGGCAGCAAAAGACCTCTCCTGCAACATATTTGTTAGCCAACTATTCTAAATATAGTAAAGGTAGTACTCAAGAGTTAGGAACATCCACCTTACAAGCAACTCGTAGATACAAACATGGCAGAGGAGGCCAGCTAGGGAGTGGTGGAGCTAGGTGTTCCTCCCCAGCCAAGATACAGGAGGCTGGTGAAGGAAGTGGCCAACGGGCTCCTTTGCTCCTTGCCTCCAGCCGTGGCTGGGAAGACTTGGCTTCCAGACAGCCTCCCCTGCCCCTTGCCCCAGTGTTGGCTGAGGAGCAATGGAGGGAGTTTGCTGATGGGCTCTTTTGTATTCCTCCCCAGCCTGTTGCCAGCCTACCTTGCCCCTCGCCAGGGTCTTGACTGAGAAGGAATGCGAGAGAGAGAGTCTGTCAGCAAGCTCCCTCCCTTCCTCCTTAGTACAACCAACTCAAGTTTTATTTTAAAAATGTACCCACTCTGACTTGCAAACAAATACATCTAAAGAACACACAGAACTTTGTTCATAAGCTGGGGACTGCCTGTATATAAACACAAAAACTTAAGCATTTGGAAAATTTATTGTTATGGTCTACAGCTCCCCAAAAACTTAATCCAGTGTGGGCCCTGAGTGTTGTTTTCTAAATGTATGACCTAAATACCCTAAAGTCACCAGTTTGATCTCGGAAGTTAGACAAGGTCAGCCCTGGTTCGTAGTTGGAGGGGGGGGGGGAGCATCAATGAATATTAGGTGCTATAGGCTATATTTCAGAGGAAATTACTGGCAAAATAAGTTCCAAATACAATATTTCTACCCTACCTTTCTCAACCCTGGAGGTGACCAAGGCAACTTTACACATAGGCAACTATCAAAACAGTGTTGACAGGCATCTTGAAGGCACATATACATACATACACGGTTTTCCCGAAGACTAAAAATGGTGGACAAAAAAACCTCTTGATGTCCAGCTCTTAACACAATAGAAAATACCTAGAGATTTTAAAAGCCAAAACATGTTCGAAATGTGTTTGACAGAAACAAACGGCCTCTTTCCTGGACAATTGCACCTGATATTTCCTATTGAGTGCTCACCTCTTTTTGCTGACATAATAGGAGCCCTTTCTTTTTATCTTCATTTTCTGCCTTAGCTTTGTCAGACCCAAGATCTCTGAAGTGTACTTTAAAACCCGCCTGATAATGGCAGGTCTGAACTGACCAGGCAATTACCACAAAAAATGTGGCTGGCCAATGTTTAGAGCTATCAGAATATTTACAGAAATGGCTGAACAGAAAGCTCACCTGCCAACTTGAGCCTCTCTCGTAGAGCTCTTACAGCTGATATTAACCAACAAACTATCTGCCATATCCATTTTCTAGAGGCAAGACTGGGTCACATTCAGAAAGTAATATAGACCTCAGTTAAGGGAAAATCAGTACCCACCTTTTATAGTTGCTACTTCTCACAAGAACCTTATCTTTCACCAAAAAAATTAAAATAGCTGTTACAAGGATGAATACAGAATGGGACCAGTATTTTGAGAAAGAAAAAAAATCTTCAGGATTCTGTAAAATACCAAATGTACAAGGAATTCTAGCTCTATGCAAATATTGACATCCCATATAAAATATCAATTCACTGAATTGCACTGTCCTTAAGAGTAGCTACTGCTTGTATTACCTCACTCCCTCATCAGTGAATCCAGGTTCAGTAGCAAGAGGTAGATTTGCTTCTGCTTTTCCCCAGCCTTTGAGGAATTCATGTGTTCAGTTCAAGTGATAACCATGATAATTACAGGTAAGCGCGATGTCACAGGCCCCATCTACACTGCCATATAATGCAGTCTGCAAAATGGAGAGATAGCCACTGGTCTGTAGTTACCCTTCATACCACTGATTGTTAGCAAGACGCCTAGACAACATGAGAACCACAAACTAAGTTGGTGAAATATTACACCCTATCAATTGCCTGGAAACTATCCTGTTTTTGCATCCGTACAATAGGACACAATTCCAGGAAAACCACAACTACACAACAATGAGAGCTCAGAGCAAGCCTGTGTAAGCAAAGTAGGTTTGGTTCTCTTTAGTTCCACTAAATTGTATGGGGAGATATTAAACCAGCTGCAACATGAACCTAAGAATTTATTTGCTTGATTAGACTAAGGTCCAGCTATTCCAGCTTCCGCCTTACAAATTCTGCCTGCCAGACAATTCTGGTAAGCTTGCAAGAAAGATATGTACATATCTGAATATATAATGATATTTATCTCTCATAGAAACTCCAAGACTTGCAAATAGGTTCTAATCTAGTGACTGCAGGTAAGAATAGGGAATGTGGGTATGCTCAAGTCTCAGAACCTTTCTCAAGCATACAAAGAAGCAGGGGTGCCATTTGCAGGAAGCATGAAGGCCATGACTGACTAAGCTTGGCTTAAATACAGGGCTCTTGACAGCAAGAAGAATCCTATGTCCTCTCTTCTTGACACTGTACTCAAGCTCTCACTCTTAACCAGGTTCAGCCATAGTTCCTAAGGTTCAAACACCCAGTAACAGCTACTATCATAGACATCAACATATGTAAGACTTGTCTATCCATTCACCTAGCTGTAGGCTTCCTTGGGTCAAATGGTAGTCTAGCAAAGCTGCATATCATATTGAATTTCAACCAATGCCCTAAGCCATGCTGTCTTGTGTTTCCTGGGTGCTGTGAGACACACCACACAGCTTCCCATGTATACCCACAATTTTCAGGTTAACACAGAGATCCTTGAACCACTTTCCTTCCAACAACTGACTTTAGAAACCTTACACTGGACAACTTCAGAAAATAAAGCCTGACTGCTCATTGGAGGGAAAGATATTAGAGGCAAAGATGAAGTATTTTGGCCATATCATGAGAAGACAGGAAAGTTTAGAGAAGACAATGACGCTGGGGAAAATGGAAGGAAATAGGAAGAGGGGCCGACTAAGGGCAAGATGGATGGTATCCTTGAAGTGACTGGCTTGACTCTGAAGGAGCTGGGGGTGGTGATGGCCAACAGGGAGCTCTGGCATGGGCTGCTCCATGAGGTCACAAAGAGTTGGAAGTGACTGAACGAATAAACCAACAACAACTGGACAATGCACAAATTCCAGTGCCTAAAATGTGGTTACAGCTGCTCCATGGATCTGAGCTGACCTTGATCATTTCCACAATCTGGTGTTCAGAGTAACATAGTGAAAAGGCAAAATGTTTCAATCACAATTGTTGATGCTAGAAGCCATTAAAATAATTTTTCCACATTCCAAAAATATTTCTAAGATCCCTCCTGAGATTGAAAAACAAAACAACACCCAGAGTTGCCAAGACTAGTTCTGGAGGGCCTTACCTGCTAAGGCTGGAAGGCTGACCTTGTTCCACTCCCACGGCTGGTCGTATTCATCCGCAGGCCTGTCGTCGTCCTGTGGCAACTTGCTCTCTCGCAAGCGCTGACTCACTATACTTTCTGAATCCGACTCTACACCATTGCCTTCAGGCTCGTAAGGCGTGTCGTACAGCTGAATGTCTTTCTGCTGGGGCTTCACACTATCTTGCCTCTGGAATTCTGTCAGAAGGGAAACATAAAAAGGTTGATTGGTTCACTTAGAGCAACTTACCAAGACCAGAGTTGGGTGGGGAGTACTATATAATATATTTAAAGTGGGATAAACATGAACATCAAAACAGCAACAGCAATAATAGTGTGGAAACCATAAGCTGAGGAAAGTTTTCAAATGACGCTTCCCTTACTAGCAGGGAAAAAAGAGACAAAAATAGATCAATACCTTAAATGATATCGTAGTAGAATAACTGCAACATTACCTGCCCCTTGCCAAACTTACTGACAAAATGGTGAACAACCCAACTAAATGCCAATTAATGAATTGTTCTTGTGTGTTTTCAAGCCATTTCCAAGTTACAGTAACACTAAGGAAAACCTAGCATGAGGCTTTCTTAGTAAGATTTGCTCAGAGGAAGTTTACTTTAGCCCAGTGATGGTGAACCTTTTAGATACAGGGTGCCCAAACTTTGAGCAGGAGGGTTGGGTTGGGCATCTGGGGGAGGGGAGCAGGGGGGCAGGGCAAGTGGCAGGTGAGCGAGCAAGGGGGCAAGTGGGCAAGGGCAGAGCAGACGGTTCTTGTGCCAGGAGAGAGGGTGCTGCGTGCCCCTTCTGGTATGTGTGCCATACAACTACTACTACTACTACTACTACTACTTTTTATACCCTGCGACCATCTCCCCCAAGGGGACTCGGGGCAGCTTACATGGGGACAAGACCAAAATCACAGGTAAAAATAACAGCATTAAAAACAACCAAATAAAAACACAACATAATCACATCAGCAATAACATTAAAAAATATCATGGCTTGCTCTAGCCATTTTCGGGGGGGGGGGGGGGTGCAGAAGAGCTGGCGTTGTCCATGGACACTTCCAAGGTCATGTGGCCAGCATGACTGGATAGAGTGCTGTTACCTTCCCACCAGAGCAGTACCTATTGATCTGCTCACATTTGCATGTTTTCGAACTGTTAGGTTGGCAGAAGTTGGATCTAGCAGTGGGATCTCACCCCATTCTGCAGATTAGAACCACTGACCTTCCAGTCAGCAAGTTCTGCAGATCAGCAGTTTAATCTGCTACTCCAACAAGGCCTCTAGAGGTGAGATGCTAAATTGTGTTTTTCCAAGCACACCCAATGGATTTACATGGTTGAGCAGGGACTCAAATCCTGCTCTTTAGGTTATAATCCACATGGTCTCTGAAGAGTACGGTATCTAATTTTTGTTAACACAAAAACCTTATCACCAAACCAAACCCATTACACATATATGAAAAATAGTGTATGTTTGTGTGAAAGAGAGAATGTAAGTGAAGAGAAATGTTAAAGTTAACAATGTTGCTGGTATTATTATTAGCAATGCATGAGTAGCATTACTTTACATTAAAAATAATAAAAATGATCCAATCCTCTCAAATTACAACTATGTAAAGCAGGGGTCCTCAAACTAAGGCCCGGGGGCCAGATACGGCCCTCCAAGGTCATTTACTCGGCCCTCGCTCAGGGTCAACGTAAGTCTGAAACTACCTGAAAGCACACAACAACAATCCTATCTCATCAGCCAAAAGCAGTCCCACACTTCCCATTGAAATACTAAAAAGCTTATATTTATTAAAATTGTTCTTTGTTTTAACTATTGTATTGTTTTAAAGTGTTTTTTGCACTACAAATAAGATATGTGCAGTGTGCACAGGAATTCATTCATGTTTTTTCAAACAGTTTGAGGGACTGTGACCTGGCCCTCTGTTTAAAAAGTTTGTGGACCCCTGATGTAAAGGATTGAACTAACCCGAAACGCTGATTAGTCCAACTAAAACAACTGAGACAATGGCTTTTGAAAATAGTTTAAAACTACATGTAACATATTAACTTGTAATTAATTTTGTTGAATGGTGGAAAAACAGAAAGTAGTACTCCAGATTTCTAAGGTCTTGAATCAAATTGTCAGATGTTTCAATGATTTCAGGTCTATTCCATCAAATTGCATCAAACTGTGAGTTGTTTTGGTGATTTCAGGGATGTTGCTTTTGAAATCCCTAACATGTAAGATTTGCCAACAACCTGTTTTCAACTCATCCATTTTTTAACAGGTTATCGATGAATTCATACAAGAAAATAACCTTGGCACTTGAGGTGACAGAAAATAAAGAAAATAACCTTAGCACTCAAGGCGACAGGTTGTTATTTGCCTGCCTTTCAGTGAGAAATGGCTTAGCTTGCAGAGGAAAGATCTGCTTGAGAGGAATGTGCTTTGAAAGACAACAGCACCCTCTTTGAGTCTTCTTCTAAGTAGACATCAGTCTGGAGAAGTGTCTCCTGAGCTTTCTTACTTGATGAGGACCAAATGCTGAATCCTAAATAATACAAATACCACCTAAACTTCTATGTTCATGGTTTGTATCCAATCCATATCTTAACCATGATATGTCCTCGTAAGTGAGAAGTTTAATTACTATCAAAGATACACAGAAGCCCTAAACTAAAGCATACTGCAGGCATTAGACCACGGCCTAAATCAGGGGTGGTGATCATACTGTGCAGACCTCCAAATGTTGTGGAGACCCAAAATTTTAGCATCCCTAGACAGCACAGCCAGAGGTAAGGAATGCTGGAATTGTACCCTCACAACATATGCAAGATTCCCATCCTTGGTCTAGTATAATAAATACAGAAAAGCATCTTAACCTGTGCTACGTCTCGGGTTTATTCAATAATAGTAAAGAAAAAAGTTTCCCTGAAAGCAAAATCAAAACACCCTTCTCCTTTCATAAGCTGCGCTATAAGCACAGCGCTAACATGATGGACTTTGACAGCTCAGCCTAGACCAGAATACCAAAGTATCCACCATACTTAAGAAGAAGAACTGGGACACTTTTCCTTATAAAAGCTGTAATTGCTATTACCTCTCTAAGCTTTCAAATGCACCTTAAACTGACCAAGAATCATAACATGTGTTAGCTCTACTTACTTGGGAGTTGGGCTTTGGGGATTACCAGGCCACAGGGAGTATTCATTCAGAGAGGCAAGAGCAATCAAGGGAGTGTTTGAACAAAAAGCTTCCCTTAGACTATTTGAAGCTCTCTTTGAAGATTACATTATAATGCCCTGGATTTGAGATTTTTAATATTATTCTTTGAGCTCTTAATTCTGATGAAGAAAATGCTTTTGTGTGTGTACAGAATCATGCTTATTATGGTAATCTAAGTTCAGAAATTCAAATTTCTCAAATGTCAAATAAAACCTGATTAACAGGGAAGGGTCACTAAATGGCAAACAGAAAACCCATACCAGCATCTTAATCACATTTAGGCTATGATTCTATGCTCAATTACCTGGGGAAAACAGATTCACTGAACTCAATAGAATTTACATCTGAGTGGAAATATCTAGGATTCTAGTGTTCATACCCATGCATACACAGAATCACAACTATCCACAACTTGAATATATTCCAACCCCTCAACCAATCAATCAAAAGCTTGATTTTGCCATTTTAAATAAGGGGCACCATTTTATTTTGCCACTGTATGTAATGACCTTGAGTATCCATAGATTTTGTTATCCAGAATGTATCCTGGAACCAACCCCCAGTGGATACCAAGGGCCCATCTTATTGCCATCCTTTCTTCAAAGAAGACCAAAGGAACATTCACAGGGGATTCCTGACTTATCAGGCCAAAAGGGGACAACAACTTGCTCAAGGGCAGCCAAAATTACATGAATTAATAGAGGATGAACCAGCACTCCCTCTTGTTTGTGGAACAGGCCTGCAAATTCTTAATAGTCAAATATTGGAAGCCTAGGGGCAAAACAAAATCTGGCACTACTACTAAATGCTCAGTTGGTGGCACTAACTAGTAAAACCTCTTGCCAGGTTGCTAGTGATAATTCTGTGATAACTACACAGGCAAGCAAATGTTCAGCTCAAGAGTACTGCATTTCTTCAATTCACACACACACACACACACACACACAAATCTCTAAAAGTATGAGTCTTGGATTCGTGGGTGCTTTATTACAGTGTTCCCTCGCTATTTCATGGTTCACTTTTTGCGGACTCGCTGTTTCACAGTTTTTCTTCCTTGCTACTCACCAGGCCGAGTCCTGGTTTTGCCACCAGGACGTGTCCCAGTGAGTAGCGAGTGAGCAAGGGAGGGCAGGTAAGCAAACGAGGTAGAGCTGCAGGGGCAGCAGTGGCTGAAGAAGCAGGAGCCTGGTTCCCTCTTCCAGGCTCCTCCTGCTGCCGCTGCCTTCCCTCGGTCGCTCACTCACCAGTCCCTACTTCATGGATTTTCACTTTTCATGGGTGGTCCTGGAACGTAACACCCGTGATAAGTGAGGGAATACTGTATATATAAAAATAAAGGTTTTCTTCTGTTAATGGTACTGAAATTAGTGTGCATCTTAGAAACAATGGCATCTTAGAATAGAAGAAAAACACTATGTGGAAAGTGTTCTCAGCTCACTTGTACAGGGTTAAGATATCTTTAAGGAAATAAAGTCTTCCACCTCCACCCAGGTTTCCATATATTCTTCATCCATGGATTCAACCATCACCTACTTGAAAATAAGTTTCTAAATTCAAAGGGCAAACCTTGATTTTCTCATTATATAGAAGACACACAGTTTTGCTATGCCAATGTATGTAATGTTTTTTGAGCATCCACAGATTTTGGTAGAGAGCCTTGGAAAAGACATGCTCCCCTTTCCCATCTTTTTGGGAATGATTTGGCTGTGGATTCAAGCATTGGCAGCATATTGGACTAGACCAGTGGTTCTCAACCTTCCTAATGCTGAGATCCCTTAATACAGTTCCTCACGTTATGGTGACCCCCAACCATCAAATTATTTTCGTTGCTACTTCACAACCATACTTTTGCTACTATTCGTAATGTAAATATTTGATATGCAGGATGTATTTTCATTCACTGCACCAAATTTGGCACAAATACCGGATACACCCAAATTTGAATACTGCTGGGGTTGAGGTTAGGGTTAGGGTTGATT